TTCCATTGCTATAGCTCCATAGTAGAGCATGAAGACAGGGATGGTGATGCCTCCTGAAGTTCCTTTATTTTACAGGGTAGTTTTGGCTATTCTGGTTCTTTATTTTTCCATGTAAAGTTGGGAGTCGTCCTTTCAAGGTCTGTGAATAATTGTGCTAATATTTTGATAGGAAATGCATTGAATCTGTAGATTGGTTTGGGTAAGATAGTTATTTTTACTATGTGGATCCTATCTATCCAAGAGCATGGGAGATTTTTCCGTTTTCTGGCATCTTCTTTAATTTCTTTTTTAGTGACTCAAAGTTCTTGTCATACAGGTTTTTCACCTATTTTGTTACCTTAAGATATTTTATGTTATTTGTGCCTATTCTAAAGGGTCATGTTTCTCTGGTTTCATTCTCATTACATTTATTTTTTTATTTATTTATTTTTTTGGTTTTTTACAAGACAGGGTTTCTCTGTATTGTTTTGGAGGCTGTCGGTCCAGCCTGGCCTCGAACTCACAGAGATCTGCCTGCCTCTGCCTCCCAAGTGCTGGGATTAAAGGCGTGCACCACCACTGCCTGGCCTCTCATTACATTTATTGTCTATATATATATTAGGGCTACTGGGCTACTGATTTTTTCTTAGTTAACCTTGTATCCTGCCATTTTTTCTGAAGGTGTTTAGTAGCTGTAGGTGTTCCCTGGTAGAGTGCTTCAGGTCACTTATGTAGGCTATCATATCATCTGTAAATTGTGAAAGTTTTATTTCTTCCTTTCTAATTTGTACCCCTTGTTCTCCTGTTATTTTAATGCAAGAACTTCAAGGACAATATTGAAGAGACATGGAGAGAGTGAACAACATTGTCTTGTTCCTGATTTTAGAGGAATTGCCTTGAGCTACTCTCTATTTAGGTTGACAATGGCTGTCAGTTTGCTGTATGTTGCAATTAATATGTTTAGGAATGTTCCTGTTATCCCTGATCTCTCCAGGACCTTTATCATGAAGGGATATTGGATTTTGTCAAAGGCTTTTTCAGAATCTACTGAAATGATCATGTGGTTTTTCTTTTTCAGATTGTTTATATGGTGGATTAAATTGATGATTTTCTTATGTTGAACCTTCCCTGCTTCTGCACAATGAAATTTACTTGATCATGGCGTGTGATATTTCTAATTAGTTCTTGGATTTATTTTGCCAGTATTTTACTGAGTATTTTGCATCAATGTTCATGAGGGAGATTGGTCTCATAAAAAGAGTTTGTCAGTGAATGTTCTGTTTCTATTGTGGGGAACTATTTGAAGAGTGTTGATATTAGCTCTTCCTTGAATTTCTGGTAGAATTCTGTACTGAAACCATCTGGCCCTGGACTTATTTTTGTTTGAAGAATTTTGATGCCTGGTCCTATTTTCTTAGGGTTTATAGGTATATTTCAATTGTTTATCTGTTCTTGATTTAATTATGGTAAGTGATGTCTATCTAGAAAATCATCCATTTGCTTTACATTTTCCAATTTTGTGGAGTACAGGTTTTCAAAGTATGGCCTGATGATTTTTCTGGATTTACCCAGTGTCTGTTGTATTCTCCTTTTCATTTCTGATTTTGTTAATTTGCATGTTCTCTTTCTGCCTTTTGGTTAGGTTGGATAAAGCTTTGTCTACCTTTTTGACTTTCTCAAAGAACTAAATCTTTGTTTCATTTATTCTTTGTATTAAATTCTTTGTTTCTACTTTATTGGTTTCAGCTCTTAGTTTGATTATTTCCTGGCATCTACATCTTTCCTGGTGAAAGGTTAGGGCAGCCCATTGGTGGAAGTGCACCTTCTGTTTCAGTATACTGTCAAAGATCGAAATTGTTATGAAGAAAATGCTGATGTTTGTGCCATATTGCAAGGTTGCAGTTCCTGCAGAAGCAAGAAGAGGCTGTTTGTGAAGGAACAGCCTCTACTTCATTGGAGTACCCTAATACTGTATATTTCAGTACCTTTGGTTGACTACCAAGTAGGGTATCAAGAATGTAATGAAGTCGATCTAAGCATAAGAGAAAAGCAGTGTGTGTTAACAACAACAGATATGCTAGGTTGGGTAATCCTTGCCTTTATTCCCAGCATTCAGGAGGCAGAGGCAGGAAGAATTCGGTGAGTTCCAAGGCTAGCCTGGAGTACAGAGTGAGAGCCAGAACACCAAAGACACACAGAGAAACCCTGAATCAAAGAAAAGCAGTTATTATACACTGAGATTTTCACACTGCTGCTATACGGTTTTGCTTTGTTCTGATTGTAACTGTGTTCTGGTTATTCTAGCCAAGAATAATAAGTATCTAACTGATTTCTCTTTCTCTCTCTTTGTCTCTCTGTCTCTCTGTCCCTCTCTCTCTCTGTGTGTATGTGTGTGTGTGTGTGTGTGTGTGTGTGTGTGTGTGTGTGAGTGTGTGTGATACATTAAACTTGAACTGATAGATTTAAGATTTTGGGATTTCTAAAATTGTACTGTTCTGTAAAATAATATTACTATATTGGAGATAAAGAAGAAATTAAAGTTTATGTCAAGTTGACAAGTAAGGGAATGTGCTAGATGGATTTAGTTATCATGATACAAACTTAGACATACTTAGGAATAAGGAAGCTGAAATTTCAATTGAGGAATTGCTTTCATCCAAATGGCCTGTGTGCATGTCTAAGCATATTTTTCCTTTATACGCAAAGCCATCCATATATATGTTCATCTGTGTTGTCTAATAATGAAAGCTGAAATATCCAAGGTAATCAAGCCAGCAAGCACTACTCTTCATTGGTTTCTGTTTCAAATTCCTGTCTTGATGTATGTCTTGGTTTCCCTCAATGGTAGATTATAATATATAAACCAAATAAAAACTTTCCTTTGTTAGAAGAGAGAAAGAATGTGCATGTCTGACAGATTACTTCTTCTAGCACTTTCTCATTGACCTGTGTAACATACAGCCATACATTTTGTGAAGATAATGAAAACCTAGTTTTCAAAGGGTGACATACTGCTATCTCTTTTTTATTCTATTAATTTTCTTACATTTTCTAAAGTAACTGAAAGTTGCTGAAACTTTTACATACCATTATGTTTTTAGTCCTGCGAATAAATAAACCGATAGCAGTTAGATCAGTCTTTCCATTTTGACAGTTTAATTTTCATAAATATCCATATTTCTGAGAAATATTATGCTGTTAATATTTATAAAGGATTAGTTAGATATGTTTAAGATTTTTATTTATAAATTTATCTATTTGTTTGTTTAGAGATGGAAGCATGGCTTTGCTAGATCAAAGTCTGACCTTAACTTTGATCATCCTGTCTCAAAGTTCTGTGTTTGAGATTTATTGTTGTATGCAAGTAGGCTCACTCCTTGGTTTTAGCATCATTATTTTGCTTTTTTGGGGATTTTATTTTACTTAACTACCATATGATATATCATAACTTAAAATATGAGAAATTATGCTCTGTTAATAAACATCAATTTAAGAAATTTTAATTTATCTAAAGAAAACTAAGTCTACATTAATTTTAAAAGCATATAAGACAAATATCTTCTTTTTGTAGAGACCCTGATCCCAACTAAACTTCAGTTACTTAAGACGCGAATGCAACATATTCCATTACCAACTAGCCCTCAGAATCATGAGCACATCATTTTCCAGTCCTACCTACTCCCAATGCTTTCCCAAATTTAGAACTACTGTAGGGTTTCTATATAAAACTTTAGCATATTCACAGTCCTATGAAGACCAAAACCACAATTTATACTAAAAGACGCTTTGACTGGATCACACTCTTTGCCCTTAAATAAGGTGACTATGGTTTAGCTAAGTGTTTCTCAAAGGGTTTCCTTTTAGAAGACTTGGTCCCCAGGGTGTTGATAACTGGACATAGTGGAATCCCTATGAGGTGGAGCTCCAAAAGAAAAACTTGAGTCACAGTTAGTATGTTCTTTGAAAGAAATTGTGGGGTTAGAGTTTCTTTTCATTCATTTCTTTTTTGTCGGCCATGTGGCTTTGTCTTGACCACCCTCTACCAGCAAGAATGATGCAGCAACAAGGAATCTTCTCACAGTTTATTCAAGAAACTTGCTTCAGGGAGTGGCCCCGACCCCAGGGAGTCGGGGCTTAATATACTCAGCGATAGCAAATCAACTACACCGGGTGCACGCTAGGATAGGTTGTCACCAAGCAGATCTAGAAGGGTACGTGGCCTCACTCCTAATAAGGAATTGTTTACTTACTGAGAGCACTCACCATAGGGCTGGTGGAATGCGGAAAATGGCACCATCTATAGGCGCGGTACTCTGCAGCTCCCAACAGTTCCCCCTTTTTTGTTTTTATTTAAGAGGAGTAGCCATTCTATCTGTTATTAGATTTCAGTCATCTCTGTCTTAGGTTCAACCCCAGTGTCCCTATCTTACCCGTCATAGAGTCTCTGTGTTGCCCTCACAGGCTCATGTCTTAGGTTGAAGGGAACACTTTCGTTTTGCAAGAAGGGTAGGTGCCTGTCATTAAGCATGACTGAATCGGATACGTATTACTCACTCAACAAAGGTGAGACAGTTGCCTAGTTGTCTGTCAGCATGGATAACCATGCTTGAGGGGATTGTCCTTCTTCCACCGCAGCAAAGGCCTGTACCAACATGGCAGCTTGGGATTTTTGTGACTTTCTAATCCTGCATGGACACCACAGGCAGACAAAAATGGCTAACAACATCATGGAAAGCATAACACCCATGCCAGCCCATTCCTTAATATAACTAAAAGCTTGTTTAAGTGTATTTAAAACAGCATTGATACTGGGCATCTCCAGGCGCATAGCATTCAGGGAAATGATCTGACTAGTCAGGGTATCCATCAGGGTCTCAAACTCCTTACTTCAATTCCTCAGGAGGTATTCACTCAATTGCCAGCTCAGGTTACTATTTTTTGTGCAGTTCTCAGCCACCGTGGATGTAATACACAAAGAAGAGAGGGAATGAATACATCCTAAGTTGGTCAATATTACCAAGTCATCCACCTTGTGCAAGATCTAGGGCAAGGAAGGTCAAGTTTGATCCTGTCGAACCAAAACCTCCTTCTCCCCTCTCCCTGGTTTGAGCTGGAAATTTATCAGGTAGGCTTGGCAGAAGCAGCAGCTGTGCTATCCTGTCTCCAGGAAAAATGGCTGTAATCCATTTAGGGGATTCTACCATAATCTTTACCACACCTGTGTAATCAGGATCTATCACTCCTGGATGTACTCGTAGCCCTTTTACAGTTGTAGATGATCTTCCTAGAAGCAGGCCCACTGTACCAGGCTCAAGGAGTCCTTTAAAGTTAGTGTTTACAAGTTGGACCCCCATCCTGGGTGTTAATACGAGTCTGGTAGTGGAGTATAAGTCCAGCCCCGAGGAGCCTGAAGTGGTTCTCCTTGGTCCCTCGGATGTCGAAGAGACCCAGGTTTCGGGGTTCTGCTCTTGGGCTTGATCCTCCATGGCCCCATATATTTGCGGGCCCTGGGGTCGTGGGCTCTGCTGTCCATTTTTTGGACGAGCTCCTCCATATTCCTGAGCAAAAGGCTGTCCGTTAATGTCTCTCACTGATCTACAGGCACTAGCCCAATGATTTCCTTTCTTGCACCTAGGGAACAACCCCGGCTTAGGCCTCTGGGTGGAGCCACTGTCTCTGTTCCTCTTTCAGGGCATTGCCTTTTAAGGTGTCTTGTTTGCCACAGTTGAAACAGATCCCTGCATTTCCTCCTTTCTTAGTTAATTGAATCACCACAGCTGCTAGGCCTGCATTGGGCAGTGGACCTCCTAACTCTCTACAGACCTTCATCCAGACTTCAAGGCCTTTACCTTTATATGGGGTTATAGCAGCCTTACACTCCTTTGTGCACTGTTCATAAACCAACTGCTTAATCAATGGCATAGCAGTATCTGGATCCCCAAACACTGTTCCTGCAGCTTCTACCATTCTAGCCACAAAATCTGAAAAGGGTTCCATAGGGCCTTGTAATATCTTTGTAAGTTTTCCGTTGACTTCACCTCTATTGGGCAGAGACCTCCAAGCCCTAATGGCTATTTGGTTAACCTGATCATACACTTGAGGGGGATATCCTGTTTGTTGTTGTGCAAAACCACCCTGACCAAGTAACATGCCTATATCCCAGGCAGGGTAACCAGCCGCTCAGTTAGCTGCACCTTGATCATTGGCAAATTCAATTTGGAAAGCTCTCCAATCTAGATATTGTCCTGGCAATAGACAAGCTCTTACCAAATTCATCCAATCACCAGGTGTCATGCAGACGCGATTAAGTGCTTCCACCTGGGCAATGGTAAAAGCCGCCATTGCCCAATAGGCGCGTACGGACTCTGCCAGGGCTTTGACTATTTTAAAGTTAAGCAGCTCATGATATCTCTGTTGGTTACCATCCTGGAAAACTGGATAAGCCAGTGGCCGGGTAATCTGAAACTTGGCACGAACAGTGCGCCATACTTCCAAGCAGAAAGTATTGCAACCAGGAACTTGTAGTTCCTCTGGTGAACAGCAGGGTGGAGGAGTGGTAGGGCGGTGCCCTTGCTTTGCAGTTGCCATTTTTCCCATTAACTCGACAATCTCTTCATCCTCATCCTCCGAGAGGTCCTCCTGTTTCTGAATCTTCCCCCGATTCTTCTAATTCTTTCATTAGCTCCCTTAAGGAGGGATAGGTTTGTTTCTTTTTCCCTTTCTATTTTTTCTTCCTAACCTCGCCTTCTGATTGTTCTGATGTTTCTTCCTGGAGCATCTCGAAGGCAACCTGTACTTTTTCTATAGCCTTTTTGTTCCCCTCTTAATCCTCCAGACAAGTGCGAATCAGCCGCCATACTGGCTGAACGCATGATTTCAGTGTTCCTTCTTTCCAAGCAAACTCCATGTCTTTTCCCAGCTTATCCCAGGTAGCCACAGAAAGGTTCCCTGAAACTCTGAACCAGGGTGCAATGGCATTGCATTCACTCAAAAACCTCTGCCACGTGGCTTTGCTTAAGGTTAATTTTTTTAGAAAGAAGCAGCTCCTGAAGAGCCAGAAAAATTGGGTGTGACTGTGACGACCCCATTATGCCTTTTAAAGTCTACTCTTTTAGTTGGTATGCTCCGAAGATGTGCAAGTTGGATAACAGCACCAAAAGACAAGAGCCCACACTACAATATTAAACATTAGCCAAATTATCACCACAAAAGTGGGGTCCATTTACTTTACTCTCACTCTGCAAGCTAAAGCAGACGTGAGGTCTTTTACTTTCAGTTCGCCTCAGCTGTGAACTGTCTTGCTCCTAACCAGAGACCTTATCGCTCCTTTGTCAATGTCCTTATTGTCCCGCTTACCTCGGGAACTTACCGGTACCGCCCCGACTGAGAAGCTCTAAGGTTCCTGTACAGGCCACAACTTTGTCACGACCACCCTCTACCAGCAAGAATGACACGGCAATGAGGAATCTTCTTCTCACAGTTTATTCAGGAAACTTGCTTGCAGGGAGTGGCCCCGACCCCAGGGAGTCGGGGCTTACTATACTCAGCAATAGCCAATCAACTACACCCGGTGGCATGCTAGGATAGGTTGTCACCAAGCAGATCTAGAAGGGTACGTTGCCTCACTCCTAATAAGGAGTTGTTTACTTACTGAGAGCACTCACCATTGGGCTGGTGGAATGCGGAAACTGGTACCATCTATAGGCGCGGTACTCTGCAGCTCCCAACAATGTGGTGAACATGTCACTCTACCACATACTTACCACCACTTGTCCCCATCATGGAACCCACAGATTCAAATTCATAGCTCTGTTAGATTTTGTACTGGTTCCTCCAACATCTTGAGTCAAGATAGATCTATTCTCTTTAACAAATTATATTTGGTGTCAGAATGACAAAAGCACAATTAGTAAAAAAAATCAGTTAGAAAGTAACAGATAGTGCCAGGTTTCTCAATAATTCCATTATGGCTTGCTGTATCAAGATATCTCTTTTCTTGCTCTCCTTCTCTGTCTTCCCACCAACTAGATGAACTTGTTCTCTCCTGTTCTCCTATCCTCACATCCTTCCCTCCTCTCTCCACTTCCTTTTGACCCCTCCCCTATGCTCTGATTTACTCAGGAGTACTTGTCTATTTCTCCTTTCAAGGGAAATCCATGTCTATGTCTCGTAGGGTCCTCCTTGTTACCTAGCTTTTCTGGACTTGTAGACTGTAGGCTGTTTATCCTTTTCTTTATGTTTAATACCCATCCATGAGTGAGTACATATCATGTTCGTCTCTCTAGAAATGGGTTACCTCACTCAGAATGTTTTTGTCTAGTTTTATGCATTTGCTGGCAATTTTCAAAATGCCACTGTATTTTTTTTAAATGCTGTATGGTACTCCATTGTGAAATTCCCAGGAATCCTTGCTAAGACTCTAAGCAGTAGTGGATAGGGTGCCTCAATGTTCCTTCCCCTGTAATCAGATTGATGACCACCCAAACTATCATACAATATTGATTCAGTAACTGATGGAAGCAGATGCAGAGGTCCACAGTTAATCACTGTATCAAGCTCCTGGAGTCCAGTGGAAGAATGGGAGGAGGGATAATATGAGCAAATAGGTTCAAGACCCATGATGTAAAAAACCATAGAAACAGCTGAACTGAACTAGTGGGAGCTCACTGACAATGGGCTGACTTCTGAGGAACCTGCATGGGACTGAAGTAGGCCCTCTGAATGTGGGTAACAGGTGACAGTTGCATGGCTTGGGCAGTTTTTGTGGCCAATCGTGGTGGGACCAGGATTTATTCCTAGCACATGAACTGGCTTTGATGGAGCTCATTCTCTGCAGAGGGATATGTTTCTCAGCTTAGATATAGGAGAGAAGGCTTTGGTCTTGCCTCAAAGTGATAACAGACTCTGTTGATTCCCCATGGGAGGCCTCACCCTCTCTGAGGTGTGGATGGGAGGGTGGCATGGGGGGCAATATGTGGGAAACAGGAGTAAAGTAGTGAGGAGGAACTGGGATTGGTATGTAAAATTTAAAAGAAAGAATATTATTTATCCTAAATTTTTATTTAACTTTTTATGCATGTCATTCTCAGTTCCCTCTCCCTCCCCTCCACCCCAAACCTGAATCCTCCCAACTCCCCATCCCTAAGCCATCCCCCCTCTGCTCCCTGGCGAGGGCAAGGACTTCCATGGGACATTTTCAGAGTCTGTCACAGCACCCAAGGAAGGGCCTAGGTTCTTCCCCATGTGTCCAGGCTGAAAGAGCACTCCTCTGGGTTCCCAGAGTCCATCTGTATGCCAGGAATAAATACTGCTCTACTCTCCAAGGTCCCACAGATTGCCAAGCCCCTTCTCTTTCACCCAGATTTGACATCCCTCTGCCGAAAGATTATTTTTTAAGAAGCAATTAGGAAGACAAGCACAATAAAGGTCAAGAGAAATTTGGAGTATTGCCAATACTTCCTCAGAATTAAAATCATTACACCCCTTTGAAACTCCTTACCACATAATAGTTAAAAAATTAGAAAAAGAAAACAAAGTAGTGGGTAAACAGGACCTCAGTTTGTATGTCTCTTGGTCTAATCATGGTAGGGAAACAGTACTTGTATATAAGCTATTTGAACAATGACATTATTTGAAATATAATCTCACATACAATGAGAACTGGGAATAGCAGGTATGCCTGTTACTTCAAGTAAATTTTTATAATCATGTTTACTAAATGAAGTTACTCTTCCAATGATAGCTTGAACAGCTTTTCATATGATCAACAAACATTTATGTTAAAAATATAAATCCACATTCTTTTATTTCTCTCTGTCTCCCCTCTCTCCCCCCTCCCTTTCTCTCTCTACCTCTCTCACTCTGTCTTTGGGGTCATGTTTTATGAATAATTGTCTCTGCTGTCATTGTCAGTTTTCTAGGGAAATCGGGAACTTCATCAGAGTAGAGAATAACCTTTAGTAGAGAAGACTCTAAGTAAGGTGGAACTGGCTCTTCCACAGTAAAGGGGAGAGAAAAATTAGGACCAAGCTGATTTAAAGAAATACATACATGAATTTCATAAAGCAAACAATCAGAAAAACAAAAATCATGAAGGTCATAGAAACAACTATACTCCCCTAGAGATGGTAAACGTTGCTTCACACTCAGAAGGGCTGAGCATACTGATGACGATAAAATGTTACTGGAAAGAGAATGTAGAAAATGTAGACATTGTTCTTCATAAAAACTGAAGACCAACCATTGTGCTTTTCACATAGAAATGATCTAATCACCATAAAGCCTGATGGAATTCAGTGTTATTAAAATGACTTTTCTAATTCTAGTTCACCTTATAAATCATTTATTTTGGCTCACAAGTCAATGTGTGCTAAATGATGTCACTTATCTCATGACAGCAGGTATAAAACTGTACTTGGCAACTTCCAAATAAAGAATTTAAAGCAGACACATATTTTTTGAAAGTCATCAGATGTAGAAATATTAA